ATATGTCTGAAAACAAGAGCCCATCTGTTGGTTGTCAAAGCATGCTCTGCATAAGATTTTACTCTTGTATGCTTTGGCTCCCTCCCTTGCATTGAATTAATCCCCAGCCTCAAAGAATAGTTGGTAACAATAACTTCAGCATATTTGGGCACTACATAGCCTATTGTCCACACAGTTGGTGTAATTGAGTTCAGAAAAATGGATGCAGTATTAAAAAATGCTCGGCAGTGACTCTTAAGCTTAGAAATATAAGTTGCACATAATTTCTGTCTAGTGAATAAAGATACAGCATCTCTAAGATATAGTCCTAAGTAAGCAAGAGCATGAAGCCTAAGTGTGAAGGAAGGTGTGGGAGCTAAAACTGACTTGTCAACAGATGATATCAAGAACATAAAATTATGACTAAAAAGCTTACTTTCCTTGCCAGTAAATCTAAAATCAAATGGTTTTGAAATCCCTGRCTGAAACYATTTTTTTAGYTTGATATACAGCAGATTGCACTTAAGCTCATATTTAATGGAATTCAAATATACCAAGAAAGGACAATCATTAGAAAGGTCAGTGGCTCAGCAAGACATTTGTAAACTAATTTTCCAAGAATTGGGATTTTTTCTTGCCTAGATTTTTCATCTCTGATGGCCTTCAAGATTTTTTTCTTTTTGTATCTTCAGTAATAGTTTGACTTTTGAGTTTTTCAGTTAATTCATTGATCTTATTGGCAACCTGAAGCCTATGATCATAATCCCAAGGCTCCCAAGTGTCAGATGGGCTGTTTCCAAGTGTGCCTCCAACAATGTCTCTGTTGTCAGCATTAACATTTGCAAAGGTTGAAAAATAATGGGCTGCATTGTTAAGTTCTCCGGCAAAAAATGCTATCCATTTCATGTCTGATGGTATAAGTTCAAAGGTAAAAGTTATGTCGACACCTTCTACAATATCCTTATAAACTTTAGACTCAATTTCAGAAATAGTGCTAACAAGGTCATTTGCAAAACGTATCATAGCAGTATGATCTTCCTTGCAGTTTGATCCGCAAAATAAAAAGTTATCATTGCAACAATAAACATGACTTGTAACATTAATGAAACTAATGAGCCGTGCTGTAGCCTCACTTTCCTTGCCAAATGGGGCTCCGTCTGCACCTAATGCTACTTTAAAAGTGCCTCTCTCATTGCCAAACCAGTGTAAAAGTGGCTCCTCATCACAATCAAAATTCTCCTCAATGTATAAATACATTTTTGCTATTCTTAGTAAAAGATCTTCCAAGTCACGATATTTTCTATCAACCTTCTCATCATCAGGAAGGTCATAACAATAATCTGAGATCTCAAATAGTGTACCAATGTCTAGAGAGCTTATACAACTTATTAGTTTGTCATATGGCAGAATTCTGGGAATTGGAACACCATCCATACATTTAACTCTCCCTTTGTTTTTCTTACAGGTCTTACTTTCTAGAGAAGATGATGACCGTATTTCTTTAGATTTTGCTTTACTTATAAGTCCCCCTCTATATAACACTTTCATACTACGGGACAAGACTCAAATTATTTCACTTTCTTTTTTATTATCGGTGCAATAGATTTAGATATGACTGAAGGTGAATGCTCGATATAATTTTGAAATTCCTCATTACTACAACTACTTACTAAAGCTGAAAACAGACCATCTAATGCCGGCTTAGTGTTTGATTGTGTTGCCCCATGTACAATTTTGCACACTGCAAAGTTTCACTGCAACGGCTCCTCGCCCTTCTCTCATCCAAGTCTAGTTTTGTAGAATTATCTGCATGCACTTTTGATGGTTTCCTTTGTCTAGCCCACTTTTTACGTCTTTTTGGTCTGTCTCTTAGTTGTTACACCAAGATCTTGCAGCTCTGCTCTTGCTTCAACTATTCTCCAATTAGTAACAGATAAAACTAGTTCTAGACACAAAAGAGTTTGAATACGTTGTATAAAACTCACAACTCACCTTCGAAGCAACACACCAGTCGAGAGAGCACGTGAAGGACAGTAATCGCGTTTTCGTAGCCTTCGTTCCCTTAGCCAGCGGCATCTCCTTGACAACGATCACATGTTTTGATAACCGCTGGGAACGCCTGCTTCAAGTGGAGTGGTTACAACTCTTTCTTTCACTCAGACCCGATGACATAGTGACGAAAGCCTTCCCAGAAGCCCTTTCGTCACAAAAATCATGATTAAAAACTAACTCAGATTCCTTGCATAGTTTAAAGTACATTTTTGAATATTCATGCGTCACTAATAAGCACAAAATAAAATAACAATTCAATGGATTTAACATATTTCAGTGATCACATTACCTTTTTTTCCAGTCGACGTAATTTTGCTAATTTTGCGCTATAAATAGCAGACTTCTTAAGAATCTCTCGATCATTTCTCTTCATAGGACTTCCATGAACGAGCTTTTGCATGCGCGCAACATTATAGCGCGGGTTGTTCTTCTTGCGAACCATTCCTTAAGACTTAAATATCCCTCAAAATCAGCAAATATTTGTCCTGTAATTGCTATTCATATCAAATTCCTTCTCATCACAACTGGAAATAAGTAGCTTAAAAGTATGGAGGCTATTAGAACTTTTGAAACCTGAAATATTATCGAAAGGTACTTGTGCTGATCTGCAACTAACTCAAAACGGCATCACGTATTGAAAATTATCGCGGTCAAAGAAATCGAAATAACTCTGCGAAATCAAAATGAAATAAGACACCAAACACGCAATGAGTTCCTCGTGAAGAACTCAAAGATTTGTTCGTTTCAGAATTTTAAAATCGGCTCAATAAAACAAAATATTTTACATACAAACTCTGTTCCTCAAACATCTTTGTCAGATAACTTCAACCGCGCGAACAAAAAGGACGAGAAAGAAAACTTCGAAAAAATGTCTTCAATGGCGTCCACCGGTCACGCAAATTCACATACACGAAGATCGATAATAGATCAGACAGCATCCGGAGATTTATTTCAGTAGACACAGTATAACCTTTATTTTTCGTACATATGACGTGAACACCTCGTGCGATCCTCGTGGTGTTTTCGCAAATCGAATCGTTTTATTGCTTAGCAACAAAATAACAACACAGGCGTCCCAAATCGGCACGTTTTGAAAACGCCGAATCCGTGCGCCTGTGAGCCCAGCGTGTCAGTGTATACTACTCATCACGTTGCAGAAAGATGGGTGTCCATGTCAGACTTATCTCATTTATCGAGACTGATTGCAGACAGTCATGAATAATGCTCCCATCTTATGCATGCAGTTATAGCAGACGTGCACCAACCTCATGACATATTTTCATTTAACATCTCTGCCTCTTCCATCCGAACTGTTATATTCAAATGGCCACTTTTATAGTAAATCATCTCCTTACCAAAATAATAGTAGAGTATAAGATGGCACAAACTGCTTCATGGTAATATTTCCAGATAGAGTGCACGTCACATAAGCATGAAACAATTCTTAATATGTATTGCTAAATAAGATTTAGTTATCAACTTAAAGAATTCAACAAAGCATAAACACAATGCCAATTATTTAAATTCCTTTGTAGCATTGTTCTCAATTCTTAGTTAGTTGATAACTAAATCTTATTTAGCACTACATATAATTTAAGCAATGCCCCGAGTAAGAACTAGGGTGCAAACGGCAAAGGAATGCAAGAAGGTGCTAATTGTGCATTGTATAATCCATCCATCCCATTGATTAAAACATGAAAATCTGCTATAATTTCACAAGTTAGCGCATTTTCTATTATTTTATTTAATGTCTGTTTTTGCCTTCATGAAAGCTTTCTTTAGCTTCAATAGTTTAGCAATTCTACGTGGGGAACATAGCAAATTAGAAGCATCTTTTGGCTACTGTCTAGAGTGCTTATGATTGGATAAGAGCCTTTAATACAAAAGAAACTATGTTTCAAAATAGAGTTTATCCACATTTCATTTTAAAAATTTTTTACACACAGGGTGATACTTAATCAGTGTGAAAACCAAGACATTCGTACATGGGGAACTTGCTATGTCGCAGAACAATAGAGAGTTCCCTAGTTCTTACGTGCATTGTTACTTAATGTACCTCCATATATAGTAAAAGGAATATGCGATATGCGACATTTGTTTATTGATAGAAAAACAGAGCTGCACACAAAAAAAATGTAATGACATCACCAAAATGAAAAATTACAAATGTACATTATTCTTTTTACATGTAAAAGTATTGTACAAATTCTTAATAAAAACGGCCAAGAATATTTACATTAAAACATGGCAAAGTAACTGTCTTAAAATGATATTGGTTACAAATACTTAATATTCATAATAGATAATGATTTTAAGTCAAATAAATATAATAGTTTTTCATCACACTAAAAAGACAGTGATATAACACATTCAAGTAACAAACCATTTCACGGTAAACTATGTTATTTCACAGTCTAAGAAATTTAAGTATTTACTGTAAGAGAGCATAAAATATAATGTTTGTCTGTCTAACACAGACTTCAACTGCAATATATGGTTGTAACGTTACAGTAGTAATCCCTTCAAAAATCAATGTTAAGTACAATGTAATTTATGATATATGAACAAATCTTAGATAAAACTTACATTCAAAATGATTAGATTTGTAAATACATTGCAGTTGGATTGCATTTTGGGCAGCTAATTTAAATATGACAAATAATTGATAAAAA